ATACAAAATTTTATTAATTTGAAAACAATTGGTATTATGTTTTCATACTAAATTATTAGAATAAAGTGCATAACCTACCTAACAATTTCTGTTGTCTGTGTGTCACATTATTAATTGCTATGACTACAAATACAATTGTTGATTCATTAAATTCAATTTGATGATTTTTTAGCAATATTCCTGGATAAATTRTTATTATTATATAGTTTTATTGACATTTTTTTAGAATATAAAATTAATTAATTGTTCTGTTATTCATGTTCTTCCAATATTGTATTTGTATTCAACCTGTTTTATCATCACATCTTTTTTGAGTACCTAGATTTGCTGTCTTATTATTATATTTAATTAAGTAATACTCCATTAGTGACTTTTAGATTTTGAACAAAGTGAGAAATGTATTGATTTTACAATGATATGTTTTTTTTTTTAATTAAATTTTTTTTTTTGTGTCTGTCATCACGTTTTGGAGTAAAAATAATGCTTTGATTTTTGACTTCAGCCTCTTTTTTAAAAGGAAAAGTTCACCAAGTTAGTACTTAAGGGGTCAAAAGTAAAACGTTTCCAGTAGTTTTTAAAAGTGTTGGGAATAATCCTAAAAAAGTAACAAAAAAAGGGAATTTTTACGCAAAATCAGTTTTTGACAAAATCAATTTATTTATTTTGCTGTAACTTAAAATTGAATCACTGTAAATACTTAAAAATTTCAATAACTGTTTATATTAGCGTTATATATTTAAAATTAAATTTTCACAATATTTTGATTTTTTAAAGCTATTTATAGACAATTTAAATTTTCGATTTTACCAAGTTTTTTTTTGAAATGCCTTTAAAAAATATTTGGCTAACCAAAAAATCTTTAAAATTTAATACAAGTTTTATTATAAGTTGTACTTATTGTAGTAAAAGAAAATCATAAATCGTTGGTTACAATTTTTGTTTATAAGCATTTAAAGTTCAAATGTTTACRAAATATGTAAAAATTGCAAAAATTTGAATGGAACTATTAATTTTAAAATTTATAAAATTGTTGCGATTTATACCTTAGGTTGAAAAGCCAAATACACAATTCTCCATAACTTTTTCTTCAAATAACTGTAAAAAAAAAACTCCAGAGTCAATATAGAAATCATTCTGTGAATGTATATTTAATAACATTAAATGATTGTAGTTGATTTCTTCTTGTCTTAAAATAGATTTTGACATTTTGAATTATAAACTTTTAGATTCTTAACAGCTATAATAAATGCAGTTTTATATACTTTTTAATTTTCACCATAATTCTAAGTTTTTTGAAATAAAGAAGAAGCAATTAATTGATGAAATAAAACAGGGAAATAAAATATATAACTAAAATATAGTATGAGAACAAGGAATTATAAAGCTTATTATTTAACAGTTTTTTTTTAAATTTGTTTTCTTATGCAGGTTTTTAGTAGTTAATTATTAAGGATGGACAAACCTTGAATAATCAAGGTCCTTAGATCTTTATAGTTTATTTTCTTTATGTTCAATTTTTTTTTGTTCTTCAACAAATCTATTTCAATTGTTTTTAAGTTTCTGATTGGCTGTTATTAAAATATTACGACTTTACACAGGAATTAGGACTTATTATATATAAAATCCATATTTGTTTGTAGTACAAATATTTGACTATTATCTGTCTAAAACTTAAATTCTTATTTTTGTAGTTTAATAAATATATTTTTAAATATTTTACACGACATGTGTTTTTGTGGAAAACAATTAGATATGTTTACTACAAAAGTCTACTATACATAATTATCTGCACTATGGAGTTTTGTAAAAATATTTTAAATCTTTTTTACATACAATTTAAATTTTCAATATTACATTCATACATTATTTATACACAAACTTTTCATTTAAGGAAAATGTAATTTTGTAGATTTGATACTTAGTAATAATAAACTACTTACATCATAAATTACGTATAAATTGATTTTTGATGTCTTTATTATAGTTTTATACTTAATTTTTTTTCACAGGATAAAAAAATAAAAATAAAAAATAAACTRATAATTAACATTCAACGGTTGTGAGTGAATATAAAATTTAAATACTTAAACTATTTTATGCAAATAAGGTTACATTTATAATTTTTATCTCATACAATTATATGCAATTTTGTGTTACCAGATTGGTGCTCCAGTTGATGGTCTATTAGAATGTCCATTATGTCTAGCTAAATTTGATGAAAATTATTTTGCCAAATTGTCAACTTGTAATCATCGTTCCTGTTTTGACTGTTTTCAACAATATTTACGTATAGAAATATGTGAATCACGTGTAAACATTACCTGTCCAGAGTGTACTGAGGCTATGCATCCAAATGGTATATTTTTATTTATACATTTTTTATAGTTTTATAATTTTTTTTAATGTTTAATTCATTTCTATTTAGACATACAAAGTGTACTCAATAATCTAGCCCTTTATGAAAAATATGAAGATTTTATGGTACGAAGGGTGTTAGCAGTTGATCCTGATACTAGATACTGCCCTTCACCTGATTGCAGGTAAGTTGTTTTAAGGGTCCAAACAAAAAATAAAACACAATCATTTTTACCTTAATATTATATCATTCTAATTAATTGTATATTCAAATTTAATTTTATATTAACACATTGGCAGATAATTATTAATACATTTTGGTTTCATATGTGTACCTAAATGCCACTTTTTCTTTACTGCTATTTCAGTTATGTCATTATTAATCTAAAATGTCTTTAATTTCTGTCCCACAATATTAACATTTTTTATATTTTACTATGACAGTAAACACAAAAAAAAAATATATATTTATACTGTATATTGTATGTTTATTTATAAATTTAATGAAAACGATTTCAACACTACTCTGCTTTAAATTCAGTATTAAATTGTTCAATGTGCTTTACATGGGCAATACTACTTTTTTGATAAGAAACCATTAAAATTATTACTGCTAGTTATGTCACATTTATAAGGGTTTTTTAAATACTGACATTGTAGTAATATTTTAGACTTCAATTTAAATAAAAAAATTAATAATTTACTGTAATAACTGTGGCTGATGTTAGTTATATCCTTATTTATAATATAAGTTCTATCATTAATTATTTATGATATTTTATATAATAAGTAAATGTGGAAATGTTAAATAGTAATTCACAATTTATCACTCGACAACCTAACCAAAATAAAATGATAATAATATTAAATGTACAATTATTATTGATTATTAAATATTGTATAGAACAATTATTATTTATAAATTAAAGATTTATTGTAATCTATAGAATTACCTTATTTGCTGTATTAAATGATTTTTGTTTTTTAAAAGATTTTATCATATTATTGAATATTTGGAGACTGCTAAATTTACTTAAGTAGTATGTTAGTATTAAATAATAAAAAAGCTATATTGTTTTAGTTATGCTGTTATTGCGGCGGGTTGTGCCAGTTGTCCAAAGATAAAATGTGAACGTCCTGGTTGTGATTCATACTTTTGTTACCATTGTAAAGCTGCATGGCATCCTAATCAAACATGTGATTCTGCTAGGGCAAAACGATCATCTAATATGAGAACCTCATCTTTAACATTTAGTACAGATTCACAGTCACGTATGAGATGTTAATAACATTTTTAATCATCTACACCATAGTAACATAAAATATAATTTTAGGTGAAGACATTAAGCCATGTCCTCGTTGTCAAGTTTTAATTGTAAAAATGGACGATGGATCATGTAATCATATGACATGTGCAGTTTGTGGAGCAGAATTTTGTTGGTTATGTATGAAAGTAGTTAGCGATTTACATTATCTTAGGTAATAGAATTTTTATATATATATATATAAATTTGATAAGTATTGTAATTGGTTTTTAAATTATTTATATATAAACTTTAATTTTAGTCCTTCAGGTTGTACTTTTTGGGGTAAAAAACCCTGGTCTAGAAAGAAAAAGCTTTTATGGCAATTAGGTACATTGGTAGGAGCTCCAGCTGGTATTGGTCTAATCGCAGGAATTGCAATACCTGCAATAATTATTGGTAATTAACACTTATTGCTRAAATTATGATTGAATTGACTCAATATTCATTATGTGATGTTTTTTATTTATAGGTGTACCTGTTTGGACTGGACGAAAAATGTATACTCGTTATAGACATTCAAGCCGATTAAAACGAAATTTTGCTATTGCTGGTGGGGTATTAGCTGCTGTGAGTATTAAATTCTGAATAATTGTAGATATTATACATAAAACATACATTTTGCCATCTATTATACTTAAACTAAAAAAATATGACGGTAATTAAATAAGTAATATTTTTTTCACAAGTTATATATCAATTGGTCTAGCCCTAGAGGCAAATGAATTTGATTATATTAATTTAATTATTAGGTATAGAACTGTGGGTTCAAAATTATTTTAAGGTTTTAGTTAAACATATTAGACTTGAGATTGTTTTACTTTATTTTTCTGAGGGATCATAGTTTATAACAGAAGGAACATTTGAGAATTGTATTTTTTCTTACATTTATAAAAATAATATTTCCCTTGGGGATATTATATTAGTATACTTTTTGACCAGTGAAATTCAGCTTTATTCATAATTTACAGTGGTGCCAAATACATACTTCAGGTCAATTTAATTGTCTACAAAATTAGGTAAGGGGTAAAATAATAGAGTATACTTCCTAATCTTGCTGCTATAATTTTATTAAACACGGGAATTTCATTAAATTATGCGTATATAATCATTTAGGCCCATTTCTCAGTTATTTGAAAGGATRAGTGGGTCAATCAAACTATTTGAACTGCCAATTTCAATTTTATTTGGTGCCACTGTATGTAGGTATAGACTTATACAGTACCTAATCGTTTGACTTGAAATTACTTACAAATCAATTATTAATTTCAATTTTATAATCAATATTATTTATTATTACTATAGTAAGTAAAATCACATAATACGAGTAGTATGGACAGCACCGTTACATTAATTTAGGCAACATAATTTTAACATGTCAAAATGTAAAGAATCAGTAAAAACTGGTTTAAAAAGAAAAACAACATGTTTATACATTTGTTTTGAGCTATAGGATCTAATAATAAATAAATTACTTAACATACCATATTAAGGTTATACTAACAATATAAAGACTTTTTGAATTTGAATATGTAAGATAAAATCAATATGTTGATAAGGCTTTAACAATATTTTTCTAACATTAATATTTTTCATAAATTCTTAACACTTAAAAAAAATTACCTTAACCTCAAGTGTCATCTGAATTCGCAAAACTAATATAAAAAGTAAAAGTGAAATAAAACCATTATTTTTAACAAGTATATTTTTCTCTATGTATTATATAGTGTGAAAGCTCTAAAGTTTTTACTTGAAAAAGGAGAAATATGTAATAAACAAAGATAAAATTGAATAAATACTATGCTGAAATTTCAGTTAAATGTCTGTTGAAGATTTCTTCAGCTTGTAGATCGGTCAACAGGTCTAGTAATCTTTGTTCAGTTTCTTCATTGCCTAAAGCAACATCCACTGAACCTATACACAATAGTACTGCTAATAACTTTGATTCCTTCATGTCTTCGTCCAAATCAAATCGGCTATATTCTAGTTGTCCTTCTATATCTACACCCAATTTACTCGCATGCGTTGTTAAAGCTTCCCAGTAGATGTCTACCAACTCATTTGAATGGTTTCGTCTGGTTTCCGTTGACAAACTACTTACAAGCAAAAGTGCGACATCGTTAGTTGGTCTACTATAAGATATCATTTGCCAGTCTAATATTACACATTGATCCTGTTCTCCAAACATTAAATTGTTACACCAGAAATCCGTGTGAGTCATCAACCCCATCGGTTCTTTAGGTATCATTAGTGATCCAATTATTTGTTTAGTAACACGGCATAGAGATCTAAGTGTATTGATTAATGTGTCATATTGTGGCCCTTTAGATCGTAGGAAAACGTGCAATTGTGGCATTCCTCGTTCGACGAGTGCTTGGTAAGATAGTGTGGCTCGGGATGTTTGGAATAAGAACGGCCAACGTTCGGTGAGCGGCCCGTGCTTAAGTTTTAAGGCAAGAGACGTGGCGTGAATTCGAGCTATAGAACGTAGGGCGAGTTTGGCCTCTGTGTATGTCAGTCCAGTGGAAAAATTGGCTGCTGTATATCCCCGTTTGGATAAGTTTTCCAATACCAACATCGACTCGTCTTTACCACTGGCACTCATACCAGCAAAGTAACATTTGGCAACTGGCATGTCACCAATAGCAGAACGATTTTGTTTTGTTAGTACATCTTCTTCGAGATTTCTTAACTCAAATAATACCTGTAATCAAATTTGAATTATTAGAAATAAAAATAATTTATAATACAATATAATATTATGTGCTGTTAATAATAAAATAATTCGTTTTTTCTTATTTTGATGCTGCGTTTTTAAAATTATTGATGTCTTGCTTAAAAATTCGAAAAACACTATATATTTTAGTAAAGTGATATTTGTTTTGAATATTGAAGCATTTTGAAAAAGTCAGTTTTAGGCGAAGGAAGGTTTGTTTTATAACAGTTATATTATTATATATGTATACAAAGTGATGTATAATTTTGAAGCCATATTGTAACGAATAATAATATTTTCATGGTTTAATTTTGCTAAGAATGCTCTATCTGTAATACATTTTAATAGGAGAGATGTGTTGTTAGAATTTAATTTAAATTTTAAATTGTAAATTTTGTATTTGGAAAAAACCAATTTATGATAGAATAAAAGTGGGTTAATTAATTGTGATCAACGTAATTACATATTTATTCTATAGACAAGATGATAATCTCTATTGTTTAATGGTTGATTTTTTATTATTAGCATACCTATAAAAAGTATATATTAGCACAACCCATTGTTTTAATTATTATTTTTTCATGTTTATTTAAATTGATAATATTGATGGATACCTATTCATTTTTTGGTTGGTTTTGTCCGCAAGCGTTATAATTAATTTTGTGGCATAGTAACAGACGACGTATCTGACGCTTGTGCTGTGAGGGGGGGGGTCTCACGTTTATGATACTCAGGGTCGCGTGTGGTTAGGCGGTAACAAATAACATTACGCATATATATCTCTATGCTCTCGCTATTTCCTTGACTGGAATTCATTCAAAGCATCTGTGGGAGCTACAACCGCATCACCGCAGCCTAGCTATTTTTTGTTAATGATTGAAACGAACGGTCAAGGTCTATTGCACTCACGATAGGCGTTATGTAGCCATGACAATTACCGCGGTTCGTACGGATTGAAATTTGAAATCGAATAACTGATTTACAGACTATAATTTACATGCATAGATTACATGCGTATTCCACMTAATTTCAGGTGTCAGTCATGCATAGAGGCGGTGAATTTTTAGAACATCCAGWCCACATCCGTTGGTGGCTTCTATTTAATGTATTTGACAAATGTCGTGTACAGTTCGCCTACAGTTGCAAGAGAATGATGGAAGTGCATAAGTGCTATAGAGGTGATGTGTGGG